AGGCAGGACGACCCCCCTGACCCAGAGAAGGCACTCTGCCCTTTTCCGGCTCAAGACCATGGCCTCGGATTTGGAGGCACTGAGCATCATCCCGGCCGCTTCGCACTCGGCCGCGAACCGCTCCAGCGAGAGCTGCAGATCTCGTTCCGATGAAGCCAACAGGACCACATCATCCGCAAAAAGCAGAGATGCGATCCTAAGGCCACCAAAACGGATCCCCTCAACACCTCGGCTGCGCCTAGAAATTCTGTCCCTGAAAGTAATGAACAGAATCGGTGACAAAGGGCAACCTTTATGACCTAAACATAATATTAAAAATATCTATCTGGAGAAATTTAATTCAACATTTCTGTACAACCCTAACTGGCCCCATTAAATCAAACTGAGAATTTCGGTGTTCGAAGCTTCTGTAGTGCAACATTTTTGTTGTTGTTTGCCACAATGTTTGAGGCAATCATTTTAGGTTTTTGTTTCTTTTTGTTTAAAATGTCCTAAATGTATGCAGCAGGTAACACTGTTGTTTCACAGGAAGAAGATTGCCGGTTTGATTTCCGGCCTTTCTGTGTGGAGTTTGCATGTTTTATTCAGGTTTCTTCCCTCAGACCAAGAACATGCATGTTAGGTTAAGTGGTAACTCTAAATGTTAGTACTGTCAAAGTGTGAGGCAGTGCTACTTTGACAATGTTCATTTCCTTTTTTATTTTAAACTGGAAAAGGTTAAAAAGTGACACAAAAAAGCAGCTGTCCAAATTTAGTTGACCTCAAAATGTGCACGTAGTGTTTCACATTCCCACATTAAACCCTGATGATTTAAAAGCTTATTGGAGCCCTAAAAGTAACCAACTCATCCAGTGCATGCAGCTTGAATTAAACAGATGAAAGTATTCAGCATAGGTCTGTGACTGCAGCTAAAACTGAAACTGTTTTAAAAAAAGATCAACATATCTAAAAAACCTCATATGATCAAATCATATACAGATAAATCTGAATATTGACAGTTGTGTTTGATTTGTTTTTCTAAATGAGCAAATTTAAAATCATTGTCTCATGAGAACAGACCCTGGTCTGAACCGGGAATCTAACCCAGCCCAGGACTGTGAGTCATTAGTGCTAACCACTGATCCACTGTGCAGTCAGACAAATGTATTTAAATATACTCAGAACAAAAAGTAAGGAAATTTCTGTTTGATAGATTATTTCCTTGTTGTAATATTTTTTGACAATAAATCTTATACAGTTGGAAACTCTTTTAAACAATTTTATATAAAGTACCACAAACTGATACTTGAGTACAAGTATCTTACCAAAAGATTATTTTGGAAAAGTTAGTCTCCTTTAGGAATATTACTTGAGTAAAAGTCTTAAAGTATCTGATATTTTTTGTACTTAAGTATTAAAAGTAAAAGTACTGATTTAAAATGAGCAGTTAGATTTTCTGTAAGGACATTTATTAGGAGGTGACCTCCCAAAAATGCAGAAATGACTAAATTGTATTAAAATAATTAATTTATGTTAAATTTATGAATCTGTTTCAGTTTATATACATATATCAAGGCTGCACAAAGCTTTTCCCCACAATGAAAATCTATCTGAGGGCTGCAGCCAAATACAATAATATAATTCATGAAATACAAATACTTCTTAAGTACAGTACTTTTATTTTAATGATTATGTCCTGCTGGAGTGACATGATTTGTTTGTGTACAAACTAATACACTATCAGAATTTTAAATATTTATACTTCTCATTCAACAACAGTTAAATTCACTCTATCTAGGAGGCAGAATTTATATGGATAGTTTTTATTTTTTACAACAAGCTGGAATGAAAACAAGCAAAAATTAAATAAAAGTTACAACTTTCTACTGCTTGCTTTTTTTTAAAATGTAAGGAGTAAAAAGTACAGATAACTGTGTGAAAATGTAAGAAGTAGAAGTAAAAAGTAGGCTGAAATACAATTACTCAAGTACAGACACCCAAAAATTCTACTTAAGTACAATAACAAAGTATTTGTACTTAGTTACAACTCTTGCTTATGAATAATTGCTTTTAAATGGTGCCACATTTGTAAGTAACATGCATTTGTGGGATGAGTGGAGTTGCTCATATGAATAATTTGACAAACAGCTTCTTTTGCTGTTATAGTTTGTTTTGAGCGTCTGGTACCGCCCAGGTGCCTGGTATAAGATTTACTGACAAGAAACAAAGAAATGATCTACGTAATTAAGAAAAAATGACTTTTTGTGCTACGTGTATATATATATATATATATATATATATATGTTTGTGCTCTCAGTTGGTCTTCAGGCGTTTCGAGGTTTCCTGCGTTCAGAGTTCAGTGAGGAGAACCTTGAGTTCTGGCTGGCCTGTGAGGACTACAGGGTCTCCTCATCAAACCTGCACAGGACCAAGGCCAGCAGCATCTACAGCCAGTTTATCAACCCTGACGCCCCGCTGGAGGTCGGCGCACGGGAACTGAACGAAACCTTCAGCAAATAAAACTTGTTTTGACTGTCGGTGTTCCTCGCTGCAGGTGAACCTGGATGCTGAGACCCGCGAGGCTCTGCTGAGTGCGACAGGCTCTCCGTGCGTCGAGACGTTTGACAAAGCCCAGCAGAAGATCTACAGCCTGATGGCCAAAGACTCCTTCCCTCGGTTCCTGCGCTCGCACCACTGCATGGACGCCATCAGGGCTTTTTAACTCTTTACGGTGCAAAGCCATGCACAACTAATAATCTGCTCAGCTTGGTGTTGATTGTATTTTCTATTTATCAGCTTATTTAACTATCTTAATAGTCCATGATTTATGTGCTGTCTACTGCACAGAATTAGTACCCAGATTTATGATTTCATTGTAGGACTCACTCTGGCCTGCCTGTTTACAATTAATTCCTGAACACATTTGAAATAAACAGCTTGAATGACAAACTAAACTGTAACAGACGTTACACAAAGCATTTTTACAATGATTTATATACATCTTTAGAGTGATATGGGTAGATTATTTTATTGTCTGTATTTCCAGGTAGTAACTGTACTGTGGCGAGAGAAGATTACATCAGCTTCACAAAACCTGAGTCAACAATTATTTACAGGAATAAAGACCGTCAGAGAGCTTCAGGCCAACATTTTCTGTTTTCACGTCTCATGGGTTGGCTTCAGAGATCATCGCCTGTTTCCTGTCCTCCATTTGGTTTCTCTGTACTTTTAGAAAATGTTTAATGTTCTATAAATAATCAGTTTCTATCAGAACCGGAGTAGAACCTTACGGAGGGTTAGAGTAAAACGTCTCAAACTGGGAAAATATAACTTTTGAAGATCCTTCTTCACTTCATTTATCCTTAATAAACAGGATGACAAAATCATGACATCATAAAACATGACAAGCGTCTACTTTGTTCAGTTCTTCTCACTAAGTAGATGCTCTTGGAGGTTCATGTAACGTCCACTCATAATTTTATTATAACCTGGTGAAGCTGAGGTCTGCAGTCGATGGTGTGGTAACGTGTTCTACTTTGAACTGGTCCCAGGACGGGCAGATCCTGGCTTTCCTTTTCCTTCAGCTCCTTTGACCACAGACAGTGGCTTGTGGAGAGAGGAGCTGGCCCTCTGGGTCACCTCCTGCTCGATCTTGCTCCTGATTGCAACCTCAAGACCCTTTGAGAACAGAGTTGAGAAGTGTAAGAAACTATTCAGGCTCATTAGTAAAACCTTCTGATTAGGGATGCACAGATACCGATACCAGTATCGGGTATCGGTCCGATACCATGTGCGTTAACTCGTACTTATAAAAGTGCTCCGATACTACAGAACCGATACCAGCTTCATTTCGCTCAGTTTGTGCATAGACGCTCTAAAGCAGCAGGCGGCGGAATCGCGCAACAGACTTAATGCCAGCCGCATAAAAAATAGAAGAAGACAACGACGGAGCTGAACAAACTTTAACAAGCAAGCAGTTTGTAGAGGAGGCGTTATGTCAGCGGTGTGG